TTAGGCTGGGTTCCTCCAGAAGCCAACTCTGAGATAAAGATTTAAGTGCAAATAGGCTGTTCAGAAATTGACTCCAGCAAGCACCTATAAGGGCATGGGAAAGTGACATAGGGAGGGTGCATGAATGACCAGGTTCCCTTCATGGGCAACAGGGGCTCAATCCTGCAGTGCCCCAGAGACCCCCTCTCAACATCCTCCCACCTGGAGGCATGGAAGCTGGGATGTTTGCAGCAGCAAGCAAAGGAGTGTAAGGGAACAGGGACCCAGCAGGAACTGCCACACCAGCATCCTCTGAAAACTCCGGGAGTCTCCTCTGGGCCCCTGCACACCATGTACAATGACAATGACAAACTGACTCAGGTGGGAGTTGGGGGGTTCTGGGCTAGTCACCTGTTGCTGAGGTTGATTAAGCACCTCCACACACGGAAGTGGTGGACTCAGGACTGGGAACATGTTTGAGGGCCACCCAAAGGTCGCCATCTGAAACCTACCTCCCTCTCTCTGGTGGGAACCTGAGATCACTTTCTAAAATATTTTAAGCAGGGCTGGAATAGGATCCAACCAGCACTTGAAAGTGAGTCTTCCAGCTGGGAACAAAAGCTCAGGGACAGCCGGGCGCGGTGGCTGATGCCTGTAATCCTAGCATTCTGGGAGGCCGAGGCGGGCGGATTGTTTGAGCTCAGGAGTTCAAAACCAGCCTGAGCAAGAGCGAGACCCCGTCTCTACTAAAAATAGAAAGAAATTAATTGGACAACTAAAAATATATAGAAAATTAGCCGGGCAGGGTGGCGCATGCCTGTAGTCCCAGCTGCTCGGGAGGCTGAGGCAGAAGCATCGCTTGAGCCCAGGAGTTTGAGGTTGCTGTGAGCTAGGATGACGTCACGGCACTCACTCTAGCCCGGGCAACAGAGTGAGATTCTGTCTCAAAAAAAAAAAAAAAAGCTCAGGGACAGAGACAGCGAGGGGGCCTGGAGCAGTGACAGAAGGAACGTACAGTCTCCACTAGTCACCCTGGTAATGCACAGCCAGCATGGTTCCACGTGTCACAGGCAGGGGCGGGAAATTTAAGGAACTGAATGGAGCTCACTCCTCTGAGAGGTGGGAGCTGGAAGCCTGTGTAACTGGCTTCATAAGCAAGAAAACCTTTTTATAGTTTTTTTTATAGTTCTCTTATGTTTCAAATGAGTTTTCAATGCTCACATTGTAGCTAGAACTGGCCACTCTAAGTAACCTTAAATTAGTGGTACCAGAGCGAGTTTTATCTCAATGCCGGTAGCTCAGCAACTGCAGTTTCAAAGTAGGCGAAAAATAGAGAGGCAGAGAGCCTAAGAGACTTGGTAAGATTTACTGAACAGAACTTCGTAACTTTCTGTTGAACCAATGCATTCGCTTTTGAGTTTCTTTCCCAGAAAAGATGGAACCTCCTTGCAGCCACAAAGTCACTACAAACACTTATGCCACTTGTCTGTCCAGAAAGGACAAGATAAGTGACACTCCACCACAGATTGCACCCAAGGACCCACTGAGCAGCCTACTCCCTGCATCCCACCTGCGCACAAGGCTGGAAGAATAAACAATTTTTTTTTTTTTTTTTTTGAGACAGAGTCTCACTCTGTTGCCTGGGCTAGAGTGAGTGCCGTGGCATCAGCCTAGCTCACAGCAACCTCAAACTCCTGGGCTCAAGCGATCCTTCTGCCTCAGCCTCCCGAGTAGCTGGGACTACAGGCACGTGCCACCATGCCCGGCTGATTTTTTCTATATATTTTTAGTTTTCCAGCTAATTTCTTTGTATTTTTAGTAGAGACGGAGTCTCACTCTTGCTCAGGCTGGTCTCGAACTCCTGAGCTCAAACAATCTTCCCGTCTCGGCCTCCCAAAGTGCTAGGATTACAGGCATGAGCCACCACACCCAGCCAAGATCTCCTTTTTTTTCACTCTGTTGCCCTGAGTAGAGTGCGAAGATCTCTTTTTGTTGTTGTTGTTGTTGAGACAGAGTGTCCCTCTGAATGACCACTATTAACCCCTAGCTCATTATACTATTAAGGGACTTATCCACCATTTTTTGATCATGGGATGCATGTACTAGCATGATTTCTCACTGCAGTTGCGTGCCCTGTGCTCCCCCCTAAAATATGTAATGATGCTCACTTCCCTCATGCATTATTCATTTCACCTCCAGAAAAATCCCTGACCCCACTGCTCGGGGAGGCAGATTTGAAGCAGTGCATGCCTTCCACCTCCTGGTTGACACACACTCTGCAACAAATCTTTTCTTCCTAGACAATCCTTGTTGTCTCAGTAATTGGCTTTCTGTGTGGCAGGCAACAGAGAGAACCTCTCTTGTGGGTTCGTTATCACCTGCAGAGCTCTCCTTGGCTCGGGAACACAAGGGCACTCTAACCCCTGAGTATCCCTGGACAACTTCCCAGGCCCTCTCACAAGCCCCCAGCTGAAAAAATAATGGTTTCTAAAGGAAGCCACGGGGATGCCGGACAGGGACCCTGGGATCCCTGAGGACCAACCCCAGGCAGTTCCAAGAATAACACTGGGATGCAACTGGACCACTTCCAAGATGTTCTTCCTAAGAAAGAAGCATGCTGTGAGTAAATCAAACCAACTCCCCCTCTCCTGGGTCTCAGGCACAGGGACCCTAAAGATAATTTTCTCTAGGCACTGGGAGACCCCAAAGGCCTGCCCACTGGTGAGGCCCCAAAGCACTTAGTGAGCAAAGTACCTTTACAGGTGAATACCAAGGAAAAGGTGGGAGGCAGGTCCACACATGGGGGCAAAAACCACTGTCTTGGCCAAAAGGAAGATCAGAGATGACCCGACCTGTTCCTAGAACTGGGGCAGAAGGGGGATGCGGGAGGATATGCAGCTAGGGAGGGCCCAGGTGTGCCACAAGACAAAGGTGGTGTGTCTTACTGGTACCTCGACTTCACCCATACATGTTGACCATGTTGAAAGGGAGAGCCACGGATTGTATACTGAAGCATGGGGCAGGGGAGAAGGCAAGAGTGTGAACATTTAACACAGAAAAGACATATTTCCCACCTCCGGGACCCCGGGGTAGCATTCACTCAAGCAGCGAGGAGTATTCCTACAGGATCATTTAGACGCACTAAGCTAGTGCAAAATCACCCATACTACAAATGAGGAAACTGAGGCCCAAGGAGGGGAGGCACCGGAGTGACTCAGCGGCAAAGTTTCCACCTCGCCTTGCCTACGAGCTCCCTGGACCTTTTTCCAACTCCTCTCTCTCCTGGAAATGACCCCCGTTCCCTTCTTCGCCCGCACGCTCTCCTTTCCCAGGAAACTGTGTTTACAAGAAAGACAAGGATGAAACGCAGGAAAAGGACTTCCCGGTCAATCACAACGGCGCCCAGGCGCATTGCGCATGCGCAAACTAAGCCCAGCCCCCGCCGGTGGACAACCCTGCCTCTCTGCCCCTCACCAACATGGCCTCCTCGACAACAGCCACTCCTGCCCGGCACAGATGTGGCGGCTCCTGACGTCATAGGAAGGCGCCGGTTACCCACGAGGCGGTGGAAGACTGCAGGTGGGCTCGGATTTGGAAACTTTCTGGCTGGGCCATGGATACGCCGCTAAGGCGCAGCCGACGGCTGGAAGGCCTAGAACCTGAATCCCCCGAGAGCCTCACCGCAGTTTCGCGGGCGAGACGGGCCCTTGTGGAGTTTGAGTCGAACCCAGAAGAAACGAGAGAGCCCGCGTCACCTAGGAGTGTGCAGCAAGCTGGCCTGGGGTCCCCCCGTCAGCTGGAGACAAGCCCGGGATCTCCCAGTCTGCAGCAGAGTCCGGCCTTGGGGTCCCTCCAAAGGGGGCCAGAGCCGGGCGCGGGGTCCCCACAAAGGGAGCCAGAGCCGGGCCCAGGGTCCCCCGAGCGTCAGCAGGATCTAGGCCTGCAGTCTCTCCAAAGACAGCCAGAGGCGAATCCTGAATCTCCCCGACGTCAGCCAAAGCCAAATGAAGAGTCGCCAAAGTTATCTCAGGGCCTGGGAGAACTGGCCTCGGAGTCGGCCCAGAGTAAGGAGGAGCCAACCCCGGAAGCCCCCCCAAATCAGCTGCAGCCAGGCCCAGAATCACCAGAGCCTTACCCTGGTCAGCAAGCACCGGGTCCGGAGCCCTCGCGGCCACTACAGGAGCTGGCACCCGAGGCACCAGGCTCCCCCCCGGGTCAGCACGAGCCAAGCAAGCCACCTCCGGTCGGTGAGACTGTGACAGGCGGCCTCGGGGAGAAGAAGCGAAAAAGTTCTCCAGCCCAGGACCCGGTGTGCAAGAAGTTGAAGGAGGAGGAGGAGGAGCTTCCTGTAATCCCGAAGGGGAAGCCCAAATCGGGGCGGGTATGGAAGGACCGTTCCAAGAAAAGGTGAAGTGGGAGACAGCATGGGTAGGGGTGGGGCTTTCTATGGTGTTGGGACCCTCCCATCTTTGCCCTGCTGCGGCCTGTAGGCAGACAGCTCCAGGGTTGGAGAGAGCTCACATTAGTGGGGAAGGGGGAGGTCAGCAAGCAGGTAATTATAGTCAGAAAGTGGTAAAATGTCCTGGAATCCCGGGGAGGGTGAGACGTGAGACTAGGCCCTCGAAGAAGATCCTGTCTGTGATGTTCCTCCTCAGGGCCCCTGTTTACCTGTCCTATAGCACCTCCCTTGAGTATTCATTCAAGTGACACTTACCATTGTCTGCCCTCTCTAGTGAGGGAGGCAGAAGCAAGGAAACCAGCCAGTATTTGATAAAAGCAGTGAGGTGTTCACCCACTATTATCCGAGTGCTGATTATATAGGACACTGTGCTAAGCACTTTCATAAGGATTGGCCAGGGAAGAGCCTTTCAAAGACAGAAGAGCAAGTTTCACCACATTTAATCTGCACATCAACCTTAAGAAGCAGGTGTTGTTATTATTCCCACACTATTTTATGTTTGCGGAAACTGAGGCTAACTGAGTGGAATATGCAGGACCTGAGCACGTATCTGAGTCCAAAGCCTGAGCAGGAAATCCCTTTACCCGCTCTTTGCGGATTCACCTTGAATTGAATGGCAGCCTTCTTGAGGGCAGGCACGAGGTCTTCCTTGTGGTTCTGTGCTAAGGGCACAATAAGAGTTTGTGGAATGGAGGAACAAAGAGGCTCATCTGAAGAAGGACGTGCTCAGGCTGCCAGGAAGGAGAGGTGGGGTTCAGTTCACATTTGAGCTAATGGGAACCAGGGGCAGAGGCGGGAATGCGTGGCTGTGAGGGACCGTGGGCAAACGAGGGTGTTTTTAAGAAGGAAACTGACATTTACTAAGGGTAGACTCTGCCAAGCTTTGTGCTAGGCCCTGTGCAGATGTCATTTTGTTGTACCCTTAAAACCCCAGGCAGTGGGTATTATTCCCCTCCCCGCATTAAACAAAGAAGAAACTGAGGTTTAGAGAGTAATTCGCTGCAAGTCACCAATCAGAGAGAGACTTTGAAGCTGGAGTGACAATAAAAGTTGGAGAAGTGCCTGATAGCACTGCCACCCCACCCTGTCCCAACGGGTCATAGGAGAATGGTGCGGCCACCGATGGCCATGGAGAGCCAGTTGAGGAGGTTGGTTCAGGTGGAAGAGGGTGCTGAGCAAGCTGAGTGGGGCCTCCTACTCAGAGCCTGGGGTCCTGGTACTCAGGCTGGCAGAGGGGGGTAGCCTGCTGAGCAAGAGGGGGCTGGGTCCGTGCACAGGTGGGGAGAAGGGCAGGGTCAGCACGAGAAACTGAGGATCAGCAGCTGGAGCAGGGTAGGGGAAATGGGGAGGAAGGACATTTGGTCCCAGCTCCCTGCCCCAACTGAAAGCTCTTCTTCACTTCCTGCTGCTTCCTTCACTTCATGCACTCTAGACTCCTTAAAGAGGCCGTGCGGGCCTACCCTCCTCTCCCCTTCCCTCACTAGAGTCTTCCACACCAGCCTCCCCTCCACATTCCTCCAGTGTGTGATGCTCCCTCCTTCCTCAGGGCCTTTGCAAATGCTGTTACCTCCGTTCAAAAGGCTCTTTCCCTGGCCCATCCCTGTTCATCGCTCAGAAGCTCAGCTTAAGTGTCACCCCCTCTAAAAAGCTTCTCTTTGTCCAGTCCAACTGGGGGATAAGTCCCCAAGCTCTATGTTACCATTGTACTTTGTACGTCTCTTTTGTAACATCTCCATTTGCGCAAATGTTTACTTACGAATACTTGGGTGATTCTTGTTGGCTGCTTGTCTTCCTCTCTAAATCAGAGGGTCCATAGATCTCCCAGGACCCAGCACATGGTGGGCACATGAGGACACAAGGTAGTCATTGATTCAACCAATTAATAATGCTCTGAGTAAGCAGAGCAAAGTCCAGAACAAAGTCCCTGCTTTCCTGGAGCAAACATTCTAGTTGTGGGAAACAGATAAAAAACAAGTAAGTGTATACTATGGCAGTAATAAGGGCTTTAAAGGAAAATAAACTAGGATGGGGACCAGGGCACAGCAGCAAGGGCAGGGCGTTGCTTCAGTGTTCAGAGATGGCCTGGCGGATAAAGGGGCACGGAGCAGAGGCCCGAATGGAGTGACAGAGGGAACCAAGGCAGACATCTGGGGAGAGAGTAACAGGCAAGAGGGACAGAAAGTTGAGAGACCCTGAGGCAGGAGCATGCTCCTGTTTGAGAGACAGTCCAGGGATTTCGTTGCTGGAATCAGGGAGCAGCAAGGAGTGAGGTCAGAGGGGCAGGGGGCCTTGTGGCCCTTGCAGGGACTCAGCTTTCCTGAGTGAGCTCAGGAGCCCTGGAGGGTCTGAGCAGAGGAATGACATGGCACGGCTTCTGAGTGCAGTCCGGCCTGCGGAGAACGGACATAGGTGGGCAGGGGTGAAGACGGGACCAGTGAGGAAGCTGGTGCGGGGGAATTGAAAGGGCTTCAGAAACTTCAGGCAGGTCTTGCGGGTAAGGGCCCAGCAGGCCACTCAGAGGACAGTTGGGATCTTTGAGGAAGCAGCTACGGGAGGTGATGAGTCCAGAGACAGGTGGAGGGAGGCAGCCGCACTGGGAAGGTATGAAGGGTCGGGGAGACCTGGCCGCAGCCCCCCTGCCCGGCTCATACCAAATGCTACCTGCTCCACAGTGCCCTCGGATGTGCCATCTCCCTGGTCGCTCTGCTCTGAGGATTCACGTTTATTGAGCACCTGTTGTGTGCGTGTGTCGGTGAATCCTCCAGCACCCTTTGGGACAGGAACGATTCTCATCCCCATGCAGGGGGGGTGCTGAGACTCAGAGGCTCCCTTGCCCAAGGTCACCCGGGCAGTCTGTGGTGTGTTCAGGACTGGGAGCCCAGGCCTGTCTTCAGTCCCCAGGCAGAACCGATGTCCTGGACCTGCCTCAGTACCTCAGCCACCAGCCACATGTGGCTATGTAAATGTAACTAAAATTAAATAAAATTTAAGATTTTATCTCTCTACCAACACCAACCACATTTCAAACATTCAAGCATTCAATAGCCGCCTGCAACTGGTGGCTACCTTACTGGACAGTGCCAAGATAGAGCACTTCCACCATCACAGAAAGTTCTGTGTGCTAGCCCTGCTCTAGAAAGGTGTGGCATCGTGTCCTGTGGCTCCACCACCTTGTCCCTTCAGGGTTCTCATACCCCAGTTTGGGGAGCCCAGCTCTAAGTGTAGGGAGGAAGTCCATGCAGCAGCCCCGTTCTTAGTGTTTAGGGAGTCACATCTTCAGCACGAGGCCCTTGGGGAAGGGGGGTTGCTGGGGTCAGAGGGCAGCGGGGCCATGGGACCCCAAACAGGCCTCGAATCATTAAAGGAGGAAGACCTAAGTGCAATATGTGGCGGCCACCGGAAGACTTGTTTTCATTTTGCTTTTACTTTTTATTAAGGAAATTTTGAAGTGTACAGAAAAGAGCAGAGCTGCGTGAACCCCCGTATTCCCATCACAGCTTCAGCACTGCTCAGCGTTTTAATCTTGGGTCCTCAACATTTCTTCTCTTTTTTTATCCTGGAATATTTTAAAGCACATCCTAGATACATCATCCCACCCACGAATCTCTGTAGTCTGCGTTCTTACATTTCTCCCCTGACTCTAAAATCATTATCACTTTTCAGAAACCCCAGACATCCCCGATAGCCCCGAACGCCCATTCCACGTTCATTTCTCCCCGACTGGGGGAGAGATTCTGAACCATCACAGGGCGTGAGCGCCCCGTCTCCAGGGGCAGTCACACCCAGGCTGACTGTGCTTGGGGGAAGCAGCAGAACTTTCCAGCAGAGGCCGTGTGGCCTGGACTCTGCCATCACAGACAGAGGCTCAAGTCCTAACTGCCACTCAGGCACAAGGTGACCTTGAGCAGGTGTTTAGCCTGTCTGTGCCTTGGTTTGCTCCTCTGTAAAATGGGGACAACCAGAGCACCCACTTCAGAGGCACGTAACAGGGCTTGAGGAGTGACAGCCAGCACAATCACAGTCCCTTCCTGCCCCGAGCGTCTGCAGACCTGGGGGGCTGCCTGCCAGGCAAGCAGGGTCGTGATTCTGACTGGGCTCAGGAAGAAGGTTCAGAGCCTGGAGCCAAGTGGGGGACAGAGCAGGCAGCACCCCTCAGCCTCTGCAAGCGCCCCCCTCTCCTCGGCCAGGTTCTCCCAGATGGTTCAGGACAAGCCCCTGCGCACCTCCTGGCAGCGGAAGATGAAGGAGCGGCAAGAGAGGAAGCTGGCCAAGGACTTCGCCCGGCACCTGGAGGAGGAGAAGGAGAGGCGCCGGCAGGTGAGGGGCCCGCCAGGCCAAGGCGGGGACTCGGGTGAGGGGAGCTGGCACAGGTGCCCGAGGGGCCGACTTGGCCAAGAGAAGTTCTGGAGCCCGAGGGCCCCAGGGAGGAGGAGAGCCTGGCCGGAAGCAGAAGTGTAGTCTGGGACCACAGGGCCGGGAAGCCCAGGGTACCATCCAGGTTAGCCTGGGCCTCTGTAAGAGGCTGGAGGCTGAGAGTAAGTCCCAGCTGGGCATTCTATAAGATGCGGTCAGGGTCCCTGCTCTGGGACCTGCTCAGGCGGGCAAGGCTTACAGATTGGAAAACCTTGTTCCCGGTATCGTTGCTGTCATTCTCCAAGAAGCAGCCCCCACACCTTTCCTCCACTTGTCTTCCGCCACCCACCCCAGAGCCAGAAATGCCCCATTAGAGGTTCACACGCACTGTCTCCAGTCTCCAGGAAGCCCCCATAAAGGGTCACAGCTCCACCCCCTGCAGCAGGGACGTCTTCAGTGGGAGGGAGCAGGGCGCTCAGCAGGCAGCACACGGAGGAAACAAGGTGAGGGCATTGGTCAGCGACGGCCCCCAGGACCAGGGCAGTCAGTGGGGTGTTACTGGACCAGTGACCCCAGGGCTGGAGGAGCACTGCACCGGAGTCGCTGCGGTCCCAGCCTGGCCACTGAGAAAAGGGGCGGGCCAGTCGCTCCGTTATCCATCCCTTGTTTTAAGTCACCTACAGCTGAGGCCCTAGGGAGGGTGTGGCTGCCACCATATGCTGAAGCCTTACCTCACTTCCTATGCGGCCCTGGGTCCTCTTGGGCAAGACAGAGCTGCCTTCTCACTTCTCACCGTCCCCCGGAGAGATGCCCAGAGCCCCTTCTGACCACGGGAGCCCAAGTCTCACTTCTCCTTTGTCCCCAGAGGCCAGGCCACCCCTGCTACCCCAAGTTGCCAAAGCCTCTGAGCATGCAGCAGTCTTGGAGCCCACATCCTCACCCTGGCCCTGCCAGGGGACAGTCAGCATGGCCACCAGGCTTCCCATTCCCACAACAGACTGTTCCCAAAGAGCTGGGTGCTGTTCCAAGCCCTGCACGTGTGTCATTCGTTTGTTCCTCAGAACAGTCTTACGAGGTGGTGATACTATGGTTACCTTCACTTGAAAAATGGGGACGTTGAAGCACAGAAACTTAGCCAAAGTCAACTGTTTAGAAAGGAGCAGAGTCAAGATTTGAACCCAGGCCAGATAACCCCAGAGCCTGTTCCCTGCAGCTCAGCCCCTTCTCAGCCTGTGCCTGGGAGAATCTCAGGGGCCCAGCCCTCACCCTGCCCTTGCGCTCTAGGGCATCAGGGCTTCGGGGAGACTCCAGGACGGTGGAAACGAGGGAGGGGCCGGCCCACCCCTTCTCCCACGGCAGGAGGCTGGTATGTGGGGCCCACACAGGCCGCCTGTCTAAGTCCCCGTCCTCAGCTACCTGTCTGAGTACCCACCTTCTAATGTGCAGTAAGGAACTTTCCACCACAGTGGGCCTCTGGGCACAGGATTGCTCTCACTGGCCTGCCCAGAGGGTCCCAGGCCCTCCACCAACACAACAAGACACAGCCCAGAGCCTGGACAGGAGGGCCTTTCCCCTTCCTCCTGGGAATTCTGCCAGCTCTCACTCCTCTGGGGCCTGGGAGACCAGGGCTGCCTCAGCTCCCAGACTCAGATCCCCTCTATGTTCCAGGAGAAAAAACAACGCCGAGCTGAGAACCTGAAACGCCGCCTGGAGAATGAACGGAAGGCAGAGATTGTCCAAGTGGTGAGTGTCCCATCTTCCCCCCACCCCTGCCACACTTAGGGGTGCGAACCACAGCCTCGGCCCCCTGCCTCATGTGCCCTGCTCTCATGCTGCGATCCCAGGCCCCTGCGGGGTGGCCTTCCTCCCCCCAGGGAACAGGGCCCAAGGCTCCAGCCACACTAATGCCCTCCCCCCGTGCCACCCCCAGATCAGAAACCCCGCCAAGCTCAAGCGGGCGAAGAAGAAGCAGCTGCGCTCCATTGAGAAGCGGGACACCCTGGCCCTGCTGCAGAAGCAGCCGCCCCAGCGGCCAGCAGCCAAGATCTGAGCTCAGGACACCTTCCATGGCCTACAACCGCGTCAGACACAGCACTCTCGGGCCACTGGTCAGACGCCTCTGCTGGAGCTGACTGTCCAACTCCATGGCTCTAAAACAGGGACCTCACCCCAGCCGGGGCTCCTGGGCCTTTGAAGGCTTGTGGACAGGCCTCTAGGACAGAGGCCCAAAAGGAACCTGGGACCTGGCAGAGATGGGGGAGGGAAGAGGTTCAGCCCCCCTCCCTCCTACTCCCTCCTTCTCTAAGTGCCTTCCATCCAAGAAGAGTAAATTCTCTGATTCCTCAGTGAGCCAGCGAGCCAGAGGTCAGGAATCCGGCTCCCCACACACTCTCCGAAGGCTACTGTGGGTACCTCTGAGCCCCACTGACCCCGTCACCCAGCACACCGAATCCAGCTCCTCCCCACTTCCAACACTGAAAGATTCACATAGGGAGGTTGCTGGGAGCGGGGTTTCTCTCCAGCACCCCCTTTCCCAAACCAGCTTCTGCAGAAGGCCCGAAGATCTAAGTCATGCCCAGCCAATCTACAACAGAAATATTTATGGAATGCCTCTGGTGTACAGGCACAATGCTAGGCACCAGGGAAACAAAGGCCCCTGCCCTCCAGGGCTTTCATTCTGGTGGGGAGAACATAATAAACAAGTGAAACCCACGGTGCGTCCGCTGGGAGAGTGCTGTGAGTGAAGCAGGGGCCAGGTGTCAAGACGGGGTGGCGATTCAGCCAGCCGTGCATCTCCCTGTTCAGTTTGCTGAACGCCTGCTGGGGGCTGGGCCCTACCCGGCACTGGAAATAAATGGTGAGTGGCCAGCCCAGCCTTCGGTGGCATCGGGCACTGGACCAAGATCCCAAGAGTTTCTCATCCTGGCTCTCCCACTAACGTTGCAGGCAGCAGGCAGATGTTTGCAGGCAGCAACTCGGTCAGCCCCTGGGATGCAGAGCTGAAACAGCAGTCTCTGCCCCCAAGTCCCTCGTAGGTAGAGGAAATAGACACAGTGCGGTGGAAGTGCCAGGACAGAGCTACTAGTCGCCCCTCCCGGGTGCAAATGGGAAGTGGCAGTTCCCCAGCCCCCTGCAGCCAGGAGGGGGGTGTGCAAAGATGCTGGGATTACGGGTGTCCAGAGGGGTCCCACAGAACCGCAGGCCTGCTGCCACGTACATGCAAATTCTAAGGACTGAGAAGACCTTCAGTAATGATGCCCATTAGACTCTGATTAGCCCCAGGTTTCCCAAACACTTGACCATGGCACCTCCTGCTTTTTCCACCTCACAAACACTTTGGGCAATGCCGGGACACAAGGGTCGAGATAGGGGCTCCCAGGCAGCTATTATGTGATGTACCTTTGGTGGGTCAAAGGACATTCTTTCACTTACCAGATAGTAATTGAGCATGTGACGCTTAAGGTTAGGGCGCAGACACTGATGTCACTAGCCCTGAAACTTGGCCCTGAAACTTTAGGCAAGTTACGTAATAACCTTCCTCAGCCTGAGTTTGCTCATCTGTAAAGACCCGCTAGTAGAAGCCGCCTTAAGCTGTGTGATAAAGTGTCTAGTACGATAAGCGTTGGCTAAATGGCTAAAGCGGAGAGATTACACTGGAACAGTGCTCTTCGAACCTTTCCTCTCCCTCTTCTACTCCAAAACTGCATCACTGCTTGGTAGAATTGAGCTGCAGGGAGATTGGCCCAGCGTGCCCTAATTTGAGAAGTCTTACGGTTTTCCCTTTTGTTACTCCAAGTGCGGTCCCAGCAGCCCTGAGGCGGCAGCCTGGGAGCTTGTCGGAAGTGCAGAATCCCCTGAATCAGACTGCACTTTAACGAGATCCCTGGGGACGCACGGCACTTCACAGTTGGGGAAGCGCTGCCTTAACTCACTTTGTTTCTGAAAAAGATCCATTGAGTCACCGGGGTGCTTTAAAATGCAGAAGCCTGGGTCCTGCCCCTCGGCCTATGATCTCGGGGTGGAGTCCGGTGTCTACACTGTCCTGACGGGGCCCTCGCAGTGCTTTCGTGCAGTGCCTTGCTGCCCGGGCCAGGCGACCTCGGCTCGCGCCTGCTACCCCGAGGTGGTGCTCAGCGACCCGCTCAGGGGCCCCCTCTCTTCCTGGGATGGGGCCCGGCCCTTGTGCGGGGGGGCGGCGCGGCTGCCCCGCAGCCAGCCCAGGAGGCGCGCGGGGCGCAGCGGGTCCTGGCGGCGGCTGCCGAGCGACGCGGAGGAGGACGAGGGGCGGCGGCGGCGGCTGCTGCTCGCGCCGCCCAGCTCGCTGTCGTCCACCAGCACGCTCTCGAGCACGGCGCGCAGCGAGCGCCGCAGCTTGCGCAGCATGTCGGGGCAGGTGAGCACGTAGAGCAGCGGGTTGGCCACGCTGTTGAAGAAAGCCAGGCTGGTGACGAAGGGCAGCCCGCGCCACACGAGCGGCCGCAGGGCCGCGTTGGCGTGCGCCCGCGCCTCCAGCAGGCTGAACACGTGGTAGGGCCCCCAGCAGAGCGCGAAGGCCGCCACCACGGCCGCCACCAGGCGCACGAAGCGGCCCGGGCGCCGGCGGCCGCGGTGGCGCAGCTGCAGGCTCACGGCCGCGTGGCTCGAGGCGATGACGGCCAGCGGCAGCAGGAAGGCCAGCAGGAACTTGCTGACGGCCAGGGCCGCCTGGCGCGAGTTGCACGTGGCGTCGCGGTCTGGCCCGGGGTTCAGGAGCAGCACGTTGTAGTAGCACATGATGCGCCCGTCCAGCCGCGGGATGGTGTCCCGGAACACGAAGTAGGGCGCGGTGTTGAGCACGGCCAGCGCCCAGAGCGCCAGGCAGACCTTGTGGGCCGCCGCCACCGTGCGGTGATTCTGCGCCCACACCGGCCGCACCACCTGCAGACAGCGGTCCAGGCTGATGGCGCTGAGCAGGAAGCCGCTGGCGAACATGTTGAGGAAGAAGATGGAGGAGTGCAGTTTGCAGAAGGTGGTGCCCAGCTCCCACGAGTGGCCCACGGCCAGGAAGTAGGTGAAGAAGGGCAGGGAGGCAGTGGCCAGCAGGTCTGACAGCGCCAGGTGCAGCACCCAGGTGGTGACCACGGTCTGGCGCATGCGGCAGCCCACCACGAAGAGGATGAGGCCGTTCTCCACCACGCCCAGCAGCGAGGCCAACCCGTGCAGAAGCACGGCCGCGTGGTCGATGTAGCGGATGCTGGAGTTGGTGTGGCTCTGCAGGCGGCTCATCTGCTCCAGGATGGGGCAGAGCGGCTTCAGCGTGGCGTTGGCCGACATCGCGGGGCTCTGCAGTAGAGGCAAGGAGGTGCTGAGGTTGGCAGTGCGGGGGCCACAGAGGAACCCAGAGAGAAGTCTGGAGCAGGAGCCTGGCCAGGAGAGTCGAGTGTGACCCATGAATGTGACAGAACAGGCTGCTGGGGGTCAGTGAGGTTGAGCAAAGGTGATAAAGGGGGGGATAACATCCCAGCTCCCCCATATGCTCGCTGTGCAACCTTGGGCCAGTCATTTAACCTTCCTGAGCCTGTTTCCTCCTCTGTAACATGGGCGTCGGTCATAACGGTACCTAGCTCAGAGAGTTATTGGGAGAACTAAATGAGTTAATATGTGAAAGCGTTTACAACAGGGCAAGCACTGAATCAGTGTCATAGTGATGATCATGAAGCAAGTGGTCTAAGATCACATGGAAAATAGGAACAAGGCCAGGCCACGCAGGACTCCTTTTCCCAATCCCCAGAGCACTGGGGCGTGAACATGGCCCCACATATAGGGTTCTGCTTGTTCGGAGGGAGGGGAATCTATGCTGTGCCTTCCCACCTGCCACACCCCCACCTTGCCGCAGATCCTCCCTGTGGCCCTTTGCTCCCACAGTGGTGGCTGGCGAAGTGTGTTGACCTCGAACAGTGGAGCCAGGCTCTCCTCTGATAGTTGGAGAGGAAATAAGATAAGAGCCAGGCAAGAGCTGGGCAGGAGGAACTCTCAGATGGGGGCCCACTGGGGCCAAAAGATCTCTCCCCTCCCAGGGGCAGCCACGCAGCACTGCCTGCCCCAGGAGACCTACCCCCGTTCACTCACTTATTCACTCACTCATGCTCTCGTCCAACAGGTATTTGTTGAGTAACGACTCAGGTAAGTGCTGGAGAAGCCAGGCTCTGGCAGACAGGCAGCCCCCCAGACGTGCACGCACACAGCCTCATCGGAAACCCAGGGGACCATCTGCTGTGAGGCTGGTCTAGATCCGTGAGGGCTGGGGAAGTTGGGGCGGGAGCCTCCCTGCAGGAGCCAGGGGCAGGCAGCAGGGGTGGGGACTCAGGTTGTCCTGGGCCCCCACGATGTGCCGGGTACTGTGGCAGGTCCTTCACATAGAAGAAAGGTGCTATATTCCTCTCCATCCCATTTTACAGATGAGGAAACTGAGCCTCCCTGTTTAAAGAGCTGGATCCGAGCACCCAAATGACACAAACGTGGAGAAGCAGCAGTTCCATGCCCAGCCTGAGCCCTTCCCTCTGCCCCTCCCCAAGCACGAGATGAGGGAGGAGGAAGAAGAAAGGAAGGTGGGGAGCAATGGTCTTCAGTACTCGTCTTTCCAGGGGAAACACTGTTGGCCAGGATGAGAAAAGCCACTCCCTTCCAGGGATCCTGGCCGTTGTAGGGTGGGGTCCTGGGATAGCAAACTAGAATTTCGCTGACAGATGAGCCCCTTGGAGCAGGGGATCTGCAGGGAGGTGGGAGAGGAGCCTGAGCCCGCTGAGAACGGTCATACTTCCTAAGCTTTAGAGTTTGCAGAGCAAGCAATTACATTTGCAGTAAGCCTACGAGATCCCATTTTTCAGAAGAGGAAACTGAGGTTTGGAGAAGCACAGCAACTTGCCCAACGTTCCTCAGCTGCAGCCGTGGGGCTCAGACGCCACTCCCGGCAGACGGCCAAGTGCCATCCCTGCGCTGCTCTGAAACACTCCCTTCAGTCCAGCTGCCGCTCGTCCAAGTCCCACAGGGACACTCAGAGAGCACAGTCCTGCTCCACCCTTGGAAACCAGATCAGTCCCTTCGACTGCATGGGGACAGCCCCCAGCCTCCCAGGATTCTCAGGGAGCCCAGCAGCTAGGGTCCTGCTTTGGCAGGGGGCTGGAGGACAGAGAATGCAAGCTTTGGGGCTCCTAGACCTGGGTTTGAATCCCATCTCCTCAGCTTCCTGGCTGGGTGGACTTGGGTCCACTACCCTAAGCCTGCTGGTGTAATCTTCCCACCCAGACTGCTTGTGAATGCGGAATAAGGTGGATGAATGGTTTGCAGTTGTGCCGGGCATCTGGTCAACGCCTAAGGACATTTCATTCAGTCCTGCCCTTTTCTGAGTATCAAGTGCCTTCCAGTCCTTGGTACACTCAACCCCCTGCCATCCTAGCTAGTAACGGCCCTCTCGCCTGGTCATACTGGGCCTTCTGCGGGTCCAGAGAGGACACTCAGGCTGCCTAGCCCCACCACCACATCCTTACCTGCGCACGGAGGGAGCACAGGATTCCAGCCCTGGAGGAGGTCAGCTCTGGCACCAGCTAGACAAGAGCCCCAGGCAGGAGGAGGCAGGGAAGCAGAGCCGAGGGAGGAAATAGCTGTCAGCCCCGGAGGGAGTGTGTGTGTGCGTGTGTGCGTGTGTTTAGGGGTGGGGTGGGGGG